GCCCAGGTTGGATTCGAACCCGCCACCTTAGGTGTATGTGGCTGGCGCCTTAGCCACTTGAGCCACAGGCACCGAGCCAGCAACCTCAAACTCTTGGGCTCAAGAGATCCTCTTGCCTACTGCTGGTACTACAGGCACTCACCTCCACACCTGGCTAATGTTTCTATTTTTAGTAAAGAGGGGATTTCACTGTTGCTCAGGCTGGTGTCAAACTCCTGAGCTCAAGCAATGTACCCACCTTGGCCTCCCAGAATGCTAGGATTACAGGCATGAGCCAACGCACCAGCATGGCCCTTTGATTGATAGCACTGGAGGTTCCAGGAGGGCAAGGACTCCCTGATTTTATCACCCATCTCCTTAGTGCTAGGCACATGGCAAGTGCTCTATAAATTTTAAAACAGTGAAGGAATCCATAAAAATGCTCAATATTGGACAGCCAGAAAGGCATCTGGCCCACTGGGGCAGTGGTTTTAAGAAAGGCTGTGAAGGGCAGTGCCTGTGGTTCAGTGGGTAGGGCGCCAGCCCCATATACCAAGGGTGGCGGGTTCAAACCTGGCCCTGGCCAGCTAAAACAGCAGTGGCAACTGCAACAAAAATAGCTGAGCATTGTGGCAAGTGCCTGCAGCTACTTGGGAGGCTGAGGCAAGAGAATTGCTTAAGCCCAAGAGTTGGAGGTTGCTGTGAGCTGTGACGCCATGGCACTCTACCAAAGGGCAACAGAGTGAGATTCTGTCTCAAAAAAGAAAGGCTGTGAGAATGAACAGGATGTAATGCAGAGTGGGCAAGGGCATACTTAGCAGAGGAAACAGCATGTGCAAAGGCCCAAAGGCCTCCAAGGAATACTCAAGGAAGGCTGGTCCTCACCAGCAGCCTGGCAGGCATAGGCGAAAACGATGATATCGTCGAAGGGCCAAGTGTAGTTGGGATGAGGAGGGTAGAAGGCGAGCTGGGCTGCCCCTTCGGCCCGCAGGGATACCAAGAAGGTGGAGTGGACCATGGGCACACTGAAGCAGCCCCGGCGCTGGCGATTCTTGGTAGGGAAGTACTCGGCTGTGCGGCGGTAGTAGCCCTGGGGAAGGCGGGTGCTCTTGACTGTAAGAGGAGTCCCCCTGTCACAGCCCACAGACTCCATGGGCTCCAGGCTCTCTGCACTCCATATCCCTTCTCTGGACCTCAAAGTTCCCAAGACCCTTAGCCCTGGCCTCACCTGAGGGGTGATCCCACACCAGAAGTTGGAGTAGTAGGTCTGGGAGTCCAGCATTGGGGCCACCACTGGCAGTCCCTGATCCACCAGAAGTCGCAGTGTCTGATTGTTGGTCAGAATGTTGTCTGTGTCTGCAAACTTTGGGGAGGAGAATGTCATATGCTCTAGCCCTTGAGTCACATGCTCAGCCCTATCTGGGCTACAAAGTTCATTAATCCCTCCAAATTGCAAGAGATCCAGAGTGGATCCTAGGACCCCGTGGGAGTTCCCAGAGAGAAGTCTAACCAACAAACCCAGTAGATCTGTTTCTGGACCAGTCTGGGGCACTGTCTTGGCTCAGGATTTAGGTTCAAAGATTACACTTGAGTTGCTGGTCTAACTACCTTATCTGAGATCTGGTTTAGGGAATGGATCCAAACATCTACTCTGAGCTCTAATCCAGGGGTCAAGGCTTAGTTTACACTCTTGGCTCTAACCTAGGAATCTAGGCTCAGTATACATCCTGGGATCTGTCTCAGGGATCTAGGCTTAGTACCTAGTCTGAGCTTAAACACAGGGATGCAAGCTCAACTTCTGATTTGGGTTCTGTCCCAGTTAGCGTGCTGAAGGATACAGCCTTCAGATGGTTCAGTCATATCACAATTACTGTTAGGTATAGATACTACCACCTTTTGGAAGCCCAGTTGCAGGCCAGGCTTCCTTACCAAGATATAGTCAGCCCCCCAGCCCCTGGCAAAGGTGAGGGCTTCCTGCTTCAGCTCCATCAGAAATTGGTGCCTTTCTTTGGTCCAATGCTTGGGACCCTCTTCGTCTGGGTAGGACCTGAGAGGATAAAGAGATGAGATGTTCCCATGGAATAAGGACTGCTCTCTCCCTGCAAAGCAGTAGGCAGAGCTCTGGCTGGGGGGGCTGTGGCTCTAGGCTGTCCCTTTTTCTCTTTGGGTTGTTGTTACTCTCTATCTTCCCCAGCACCCTGCCCCTCAGATCACAACCTGGGCTCCCCCTCAGGCCTCCAGACCACAGCTGCATAGTCATCACCCACAGCTGCTAGCCATTCCTGTAGCATCTCCGTGGTATTGTCCACATTGTGGTCTGTGGCGCACCTGGGAATAGGAGAAAAAAAGGTGAGGAGGCAGTCACCAAAGGACTCTTGAGGCAGCCCTGACCCCAAAGCATCAACACCTTTGAAGCTGGCCTCTCCTAGGAGCAGTAAAGGGTACGTGTGCTATAGCAGAGAGGGTGGAGGCAGGACAGTCAGGTCCTAATCATAGTTCTGTGACCTGCTGTGTGACTTCAGGCAAATCCTGTCATTCTCTGGGGTTCATTTTCTCCCTCTGTAGCGTTAAGCTGTCCTTCCTATGTCATAGGCCAAGATAAGAGAAGATGAATGAATTTTTTTTTTTTTTTAGAGACAGAGTCTCACTTTATCACCCTCAGTAAAGTGCTGTGGAGTCACATCTCATAGCAACCTCCAACTCCTGGGCTTAGGTGAATCTCTTGCCTCAGCCTCGAAGATGAATGCATTTTGAAAGATGAAAGGATCACACTTGCCACATTCCCTGGTTACTGTCCTTCCTTGCTATGTGACCACAGGCCAGCCCGTTTCCCTCTCTGAATCAGGACTAGACAGAAAAGCTGCTGCTTTCCTCCACCCATGAGTTTCAATAAGAACCATGCTCTGAACATCCCTGAGAAGGCTGAGGGGCCCCCATTCTGCTGCAGTGGAGCACAGTCTCCCCTCTCCTGGTGAAGTGGCTCTCATAAGGAAGTGGGTGACTTAGCCAGGAGCCCAGGTTTTAGGCAATGCTGCCCCTTTAAGCCAATTCTCCAGAAGTTAAGACTAACTACGTGTCAAGACTTACAGGGGTGGGAACTAACTAACTCCCAAACTGTGGTAATTGTGGGCAGCCTCCAGTGCCATGGCTCAGACCCAGTGCGACTTTTGGTGTGTTGTAGGGGGTGGTTTGTCATTTCTCTCAGTTTATCCTCAACCTCAGCTTGGGACTCCTCCCTGTTCTGGCTATAGGCCCGAGACTATGGCCTCTGATCCCAGTGTCCGATAGGGATGCCAGAGGGAAGAGACTCCAGGGAAGGGGGCTGGCCTTGGCTGAGGAGATCCAGCCCCTCTACCAAGACAGGGCTGGAGGGGAGCCAGTCTGACACCCCTGCACACAGGAACCCAGGGCTGAGGGCACTTTGCCTACTCCTTGGGGGGACTCTCCTATCTGGCCCATCCCTGCCATGATCCCTGCCACTATGGACCCCATAGGACTCCAGAGGTCCCCATCTGCTCCCTTCCAAGTCAAGCCAACTGCAGGTCCCACAGGGGTTGATTTTGGGCTCTGGGGGCTGGCCAAGACCAGCTGGGCCCAACTTACACCCAGAGGAGGCTCCAAGAGAAGCAGGAGCCTAGAAGGAGGGATAAGTGCCCCCAGGTCAACCTATAGCCTCAGAGATCTGTCCTTGAAGAGCAAGGGGTCCTGTACGGGGGGCTTAAGGCTGTGAAGGGCCTGTGTGAAGGGAGCAGCCTGTCTGGGTGATGTCTGGGCAGGGAATGGAGGAGGCTGCCTGGAGCGGGGGCCATCTGCGAGGTTAGGGCGTAGATGCCAGTGGGTGCCAATGCCCGGGTCTCTCACCAGAGGGCCAGCCTGGCCCGGGGGTACTCCAGCCGCTCCAGCGCGCCCAGGTAGTGAGGCAGTGAGTGCTCAGCATTGCGGGCCAGGATGGTCAGGACCACCGCGGGCAGTGGCGGCTCCGCGACGTCTGCAGCCTGCAGCCGCGGCCCCAGCAGGAACAGCAGCTGAAGCAGCGGGGCAGCGGGGACAGAGCGCATGGCGGGTGCTAGCGCCGCGGCCCCGGGGGCTCCCGGCGGGCCAAAGAAAGCGGGCGGGGCGGCGGGATGGGCGGGGCCGAAGAGGATCCGGAGGAGGTAGGGGAAGGAGGACCCCGAGGGGGTGGGATGCCGTAACCTCCAAAGAGGGGGGCTCCCACCCTCCACCACAGTTTTCAAGTTTCCTCCGTCCAGGACAGGAGAGGGCCAGGGCCTGGAGACCCACCACACATGAGACCCAGGAGCAGCCCCACCCGGCTGGACCCCGGAGGGGTGAAGGGGGATGGGGGGTTAGACTGGTGTGTAGGCATCGGAGCCTGCTGGGCGTCTGAGAACCTTAGACTCCTGGAATCCCTGAGCGTTTAGCTTCTGGAATCTGGATTCCCGAGTCCATGCATTTGAATGCGACCTTAGCCGTAGACCCGGCCTTTCCGGGGTTCCCCGGCTCCCGCCCACTCCTCCGCCCTTGGTCGCCCTCTGGCGGGTCCAGACGGAAACTGCGCAGACCAGCCGGGCGACGCCTGGGCAGGAGAGGAAGGCCCAACTTAGGCGGTGGAAATGGGGTTCCCCTGACCTGGGCTGGCGGTCCCACGGCGGTCCGCGCCTGACGCGTCACCATTGTTGCCTCGGTCATCAGCACTAGCATTGCTCTGGTCCTTTAAGAGAGTAAACCGGCTCGGCACCTGTGGCTCAAGTGGCTAAGGTGCCAGCCACATACACCTAAGGTGGCAGGTTCGAATCTAGCCCGAGCCCACCAAAACAACAATGACGGCTGCAACCAAAAAGAAAACAAAACAAAACAAAAACAGCTGGGCGCTGTGGCGGGAGCCTGTGGCCCCAGCTACTTGGGAGGCTGAGGCAGGAGACTCTCATCAGCCCAGGAGATAGAGGTTGCTGTGAGCTGTGATGCCAGAGCACTCTACCCAGGGCGACAGCTTGAGGCTCTGTCTCAAAAAAAAAGAAAAGAGAGTAAACCCAGTCTTAGTCTGAGTACAGAACTAGGGGTCACCACAGAGACCCTAACGGCCACCCAGCCCTCCTCCAAAAAGGGGATACAGCCTCCCTTGGGGCAGAGTCTGAGATAGAAAGTCTCCAGCTTCTCTTGAGAGGGGAATAGAAAAGGGAAGAGGCCTGGAGACACTAGAAGTGGGTTCTAACTGTGTACCTGCCACTAACCTCAGATAGGTCACTTTCACTGGGCTGATAACATCACCTTGTCTGGGAGGGTTTGCAAGGATTCCTTCAGAGAATGAAAGCACTTCAGTCTTCCTCTGACACACAGGAAGGGTTCTGCTCAAGGGGCTGGAGGAGAGAAAAATTTCCTCTTTATTCTCCATCCCTCCACCGGGAAGGTCTACTTTCCTATGGGCACCTTTAAGTCTCCCTTCAGCCTCTTCCCCGGGTCAGGGAGAAGGATTACGCCTGCGCACACTATGGACTGTGGAAGAGGAAGGGTAGGGGCCCAGTAAGGAGGAAACTTACCTAGTGATTTGGTAGCGGCATGTAGGGGCACTGCACCCTGGAGTCCTGTCACCGGCCTGGCTCCAAAGCTTCCACCAGATGCCAGTTATACCTTCCAGTGGGGCCAGTGGCCCTGCAATGAGAAGGCCCCAAGGTCCAATGGAAGCAAGATGCAAGAGACCCCTCCCTTGCATGGTAATCTCTGGCAGGAAGCTGCCTCCAGGCCCAGAGTAGGGATTCCCTTCTAAAGTGAAGCAGTGTCTCTAACTTCCCCATCCAGAGACATTACAGAGCCTCTTCCCAGCCTTTTGGTTATGAGGGAGCTATGGTCTGAATGTTCGTCACCCCCAAAATTCATATATTGAAACCAACCAATGTCATGCTATTAAGAGGTGGGAGCTTTTCGAGGTGGTTAGATCATAAGGGCTCACTCTTAGGAATGGGATTAGTGCCCTTATAAAAGAGGACTGAGGGGCTCTGTGCCTATTGCTCAGTGGTTAAAGCATCAGCCACATACACCAGGGCTGGTGGGTTCGAACCCAACCCAGGGCCTGCTAAACAACAATGATAACTGCAACAAATAAATAGCCGGGCATTGTAGCAGGCGCCTGTAGTCCCAGCTACTTGGGAGGCTGAGGCAAGAGAATTGCTTAAGCTCAACAGTTTGAGGTTGCTGTGAGCTGTGATATCACAGCACTCTACTGAGGGTGACATAGTGAGACTCTGCCTCCAAAAGAAAAGAAAAAAAAAAAGAGGCCTGAGGAAGTTTGTTCCACTGTTCTGCCACATGAAGACATGACTAGAAAGCCCTAGTTGTAAGGAATAAGTCCTCACCAGATAAATCTACCAATACCTTGATCTTGGACTTCCCAACCTCCAAAACTGTGAGCAATAAATTTCTCTTATTTATAAATTACTCAGACTAAGATTTGTTTTTTTTTTGAGACAGAGCCTCATGCTGTCGCCCAGGGTAGAGTGCCATGGCATCACAGCTCACAGCAACCTCCAACTCTTGGGCTCAAGTGATTCTCCTGTCTCAGCCTTCCAAGTAGCTGGGACTACAGGTGCCTGCCACAACGCCTGGCTATTTTTTTGTTGTTGTTGTACCCATCATTTTTGTTCAGCGGGCTGGGCTGAATTCGACCTGCCAGTTCAGGTGTATGTGGTGGCACCTTAGCTGCTTGAGTCACAGGTGCTGAGCCTAAGGTGTTTTT